TGGAGCCCTAAATAATGTGTAAATATGTCTCCTTTAAACTGAATCCGGTCATGTTTATGTATCCCAGCTGTGTTCCTTTCATGGATAACATCAATGAATTGCTCTGCCAGCCTCTGAGTCAGCAGTCAGTCCCGCAGCCTGGCCACTTGGATCCAGTCATTATTCTGGACTTTGCCTTGAGAGCCAGAGCAGCCCCAGGCCCAGCCCGGCACTAACTACCGAGCCTGTCAAACCACACAGTCAGACCCACCCAAACCCAGAGCCAAACCAGAGCACACCAGAGCCAGGACGCACCAGGCCAAGAGGAAAACGAAAAAGGCACCAAAGCACAGGATGAGCGTGCACTCTGCTGCAGGTCTGCAACACTTTTCTGAGCAGGAAAAAGTGTTTGTGGATGATCAGGAAAACTCGGCAACACCCTAGTTCATGATCCAAGAAACTAAACATTATGAAACAGTACGTTTCCACACTTACAGTAAAGCAGTCAGAGGTGGAAGCAAAGTACACTTACCTGATTACTGTACTTCAGCTGCATATTCTGGTATTTACTCGAGTATTTATTTTAGTCCCACCATTAAACGCAAACATCTCAATGTCCTCTCTTCTCATTTTTCCAACCAGGCTCATTACTTTAGTTTTAAGACACCGAAGGGGAGTTTTTATTTTCCCCTCCAAACTGTCACAGTACGGCTGTGTACAGGCAAAAGTAGGACCCAAACGCAAACTCACAGAGACAAAAGGTAAACTCAAAAAACACCGCTTTATTGCTGGCGTGGAGTGGGACACGAAAAACAATACAAAATAAACTAAACTGGGAAAACTAAAGCACAAGGAGCCACAGGGAAAAATCACACAGCTATGATGGAGACTACGACACTGACAAAGAGAAACACAGGGCTTAAATACACAGAGGGATAACGAGGGAATGAGACACAGAAGGAGGGCACAGCTGGGAGAAATCAGGACTGGACGAGACAGAGACGCAAAACTAGAAACACTCACATGAGGCATGGACCTTCAAAGTAAAACAGGAAGTATCACACAGAGACGCGAACTAGACACAGTGGAGACAGCAACTAAGAAACAGAGACAAACCATAAGGCAGAGGTCTAAGAACCAAAATACACAGAGGGAAATACTCAGCTTTGAACACAAGAGACTAGACTAGAGGGAGTAACAAAAGACCAACCATGAGAACATAATGCACAATGCAGGGTGACAGAAAACAAGAAACTCAAACATGCAAAGACACACCATAAACAGAACAGAGGGGGCACAGAGAGACATGAAGGGCAGGGGAGACTTAACATGGGTTGAAACACAAGGGGGAACTAATAAGCAAATCAACATAGGAGGCCTAATGAGCTAAACATACTATAAACATCAAAATGAACTAAAACTCAAAACACTGGGTCCTAAGACCCAGGATCGTGACAGAGCCCCCCCTTCAAGGGCCGATTCCAGACGCCCAAAACCAGGAAAAACAAAACAAAACCAAAAACAACCCACCCAGGGCGGGCGGCGGGGGTCCAGGACGGAGGGCCAGAAACAAAGCCACAAAAACACAATGTCCATCAAAAACACAGGAGCGCAGGGAACAGTTCACAACTCCTCAGGGGGCCGACCCGGAGGGTGACGGTCCAGAAGTCCATAGTTCATTTGATCAAGGGGCCGTCCGTGCGGACGGCAACGGCGGCGACACGGAAACGGTTCAGGGGGCCGACCTCGACGGCGGTGACGTGGAAACAGGTCAGGGGGCCGGCCGTGCGGAAGGCGACGGGGTGGAAACAGTTCAGGGGGCTGGCCGTGCGGAAGGCGACGGCGGCAACTCAGGCGATGGCGATCAGGGGGCCGGCCGTGCGGAAGGCGACGGCGGCAACTCAGGCGATGGCGATCAGGGGGCTGGCCGCGCGGAAGGCAGCGGCGGCGCCCAAGTGTCAGGCGTACCGGCCGAGGCTTGGAGGGCACAGGACCAGGCGACGCTGAAGCAGAGGCAGGACCAGGCGATGCTGAAGCAGAGGCAGAGGCTGGCCCAGGCGTAGCAGAAGCACAGGCTGGCCCAGGCGTAGCAGAAGCACAGGCTGGCCCAGGCGTAGCAGAAGCACAGGCTGGCCCAGGCGTAGCAGAAGCACAGGCTGGCCCAGGCGTAGCAGAAGCACAGGCAGAGGCTGGACCAGGCGTAACAGAAGCACAGGCAGAGGCTGGACCAGGCGTAACAGAAGCACAGGCGGATGCAGCTGGACCAGGCGATGACGAAGCGGTCGCAGGTGGCGGCTGGACAGGCTCCTCGGGCCCTCCAGCTGATGCGGCGTGAGGCTGAACGGGCCCCTCGGACCCTCCAGCGGAGACAGGAGGCTGAACGGGCCCCTCGGACCCTCCAGCTGACGAGGCGTGAGGCTGGACGGGCTCCTCGGACCCTCCAGCGGAGACAGGAGGCTGAACGGGCCCCTCGGACCCTCCAGCTGACGAGGCGTGAGGCTGGACGGGCCCCTCGGACCCTCCAGCGGACGAGGCATGAGGCTGGACGGGCCCCTCGGGCCCTCCAGCGGACGAGGCATGAGGCTGGACGGGCCCCTCGGGCCCTCCAGCGGACGAGGCATGAGGCTGGACGGGCTCCTCGGGCCCTCCAGCGGACGAGGCATGAGGCTGGTGTGGTTCTCCGGAACCACCAGCTGACGTGGCATGACCAGTAGGTGCAGAGACCACCGGCTGAACAGAAGGCTGAGTGGGTGACGGAACAGATGACTGAGCTGCACAGTGGGCTAAGGGCTGAGCTAACGGAAGCACGGGAAAGTGTACTATGGACTGGGTGGCTAACAGCGCTAATGACTGAGCTAAAGACTGAAAGGCATGCAGTAGTGATGGCGGTGTGGATTGCAGACCGAATTCTCCTGAGCCCTTAGTAGAAACAGGGACGGGCGCAGGCACATGCCGGACACTAGCCACTCCCACCCGAGGAGTAGGTACGGGTGCGGAGACGGGCTGTATCCTGGCTGACCTCACCCTGGGGACCGGAACAGGCACCGGCAACGGCTGGGCAACTGCCCTTCCCACCCGAGGAGCTGGTACGGGTGCAGAAAGGGACAGAGCCTCAGCCGGCCTGGAAACCAGAGCGGGGACCAACTGGGCCTCAGCCTCCCCCACCCGAGGAACTGGTACGGGTGCAGAGGTACGCTGGGCCCGAGCTGCCCCGGGAGGAGAAACACGAGCAGGAAAAGGAGCAGGCTCAGAAAAAACAGTCTTAGAAACAGCAGGCTCAGGGTCGACAAAAACAGATCAAAAATGAACCCGCCGTCCACTTCATGTTTTGCAGTCTTAGTATTAGCAGTCCTTGTTTTAATAGTTTTTGAAATCCTTGGGTTGACAGTTGTAGAGTGAGCTGACTTGGGGATGACTGAACCGGACCTGACAAAACCCGAACAGACGGAACCGGAACTGAGTGTGTTTGACCTGGTAGAGTGGTTCACAGTTTTCCCTTTAACAGCATTTACAGCCTTTGGCGAGTGCTTATTGTCTGTGATTTCTCCCTGTTCAGAGGGAGCAAAATGAAAAAACTTCTCCCAGTCTATGTCATCGTCCATCAGGGACACATCGACAGGATCAGGAGTGTGTCTATTGTTCTTAATGTCCAGAGAAGCGGAAGAAGGATAATCAGTGTTACTCACCACCGGGAGTTGCTTAACATGGTCCATCTTATTGCGGCGTGTGCGCCGCTTCCTACGGGGAGGGGAAGCGGGCGGAGAGAATAGCCGAGCCTCCGGCGTGCAGAACGGCGACACGGAGGCTGGAGCGTGGGCAATTGAAGGGACGCGGAGAATTCCCACCTGAAGCGGCCGCGGCTTGGGTGCAGGTGAAGCGGCAGGTGGGGGCTTTCGGCAGCTCCGGGGACCACCGAGAGCCAGCCGCGTTCCTCGGAAAATCCGCCCGTAGTCAGGAGTGCACCACGGCCTCAAGCGGAGCTCCTCCTCTAGCTCAGCAAAGGCAGCATCCTGACGCTCACGCAGCTGAGAGCGGTTTGCTGGGTCCATGTAATGGTCGTAGTCTTCTGTCACAGTACGGCTGTGTGCAGGCAAAAGTAGGACCCAAACGCAAACTCACAGAGACAAAAGGTAAACTCAAAAAACACAGCTTTATTGCTGGCGTGGAGTGGGACACGAAAAACAATACAAAATAAACTAAACTGGGAACACTAAAGCACAAGGAGCCACAGGGAAAAATCATACAGCTATGATGGAGACTACGACACTGACAAAGAGAAACACAGGGCTTAAATACACAGAGGGATAACGAGGGAATGAGACACAGAAGGAGGGCACAGCTGGGAGAAATCAGGACTGGACGAGACAGAGACGCAAAACTAGAAACACTCACATGAGGCATGGACCTTCAAAGTAAAACAGGAAGTATCACACAGAGACGCGAACTAGACACAGTGGAGACAGCAACTAAGAAACAGAGACAAACCATAAGGCAGAGGTCTAAGAACCAAAATACACAGAGGGAAATACTCAGCTTTGAACACAAGAGACTAGACTAGAGGGAGTAACAAAAGACCAACCATGAGAACATAATGCACAATGCAGGGTGACAGAAAACAAGAAACTCAAACATGCAAAGACACACCATAAACAGAACAGAGGGGGCACAGAGAGACATGAAGGGCAGGGGAGACTTAACATGGGTTGAAACACAAGGGGGAACTAATAAGCAAATCAACATAGGAGGCCTAATGAGCTAAACATACTATAAACATCAAAATGAACTAAAACTCAAAACACTGGGTCCTAAGACCCAGGATCGTGACACAAACATTGTACGTGACTCGCAGGAGGAACAAAAACACAGAAGATGATCTTGTTGGAACATCCATCACTGCTTTTCATACTGAAGCAGTCAGCAGAGTATACAGAGTATTTTTAACACAGGTACATGCATGCATAGTCTGTACAGCACAACTGACCACAGTGATTTAGAGGACCTAAAAACAGGCAAACAAAACACAAAGATAATTTTTTATTAGATTTACAGCCTCAAAGTGACAAAGTAGACAGAGTGCACATCACAGGAAACAACACAAGGATAAAAGAGCTGAAGTAAAAAACTGCAAACATTAAACAGAAGATTTAGGTTCCATCCCCGTCTGCTCCCGTCTGCATGACATATATCCTCGGACAAGACCAAAACCAAGCTGCATCCAACAGAGTCTGAATGTGTGAAAGAGGCCAAAGTTGTGTAAAGTGCTTTGAGTGCTCAGAGTAGAAAAGCACTGTATAAGAACCAGTCCCTAAACTCAAAGCAGCTCAATGTTCAGTTTATTTATGCAATAAAAATAAAATCCTGAGAGCGCCCATAAAAATTAAAAACAAAAAACAAAAACAAACAGAAAACTGTAAACACCTTACAATGAATCTGATGCAGTTAAATTCATACTCATTTAGAGTGCGTTATACTGTCATAAAGAAAGGCTGCACACGTTTCCTGCCATGTGTTTGTGGATGCAGATGTTTGACCCTAAATATGCTCACAGGTGTTGTTGAATAAAAGGTTTCTTTAAGATCGTGGTGAGTTTAATGTACGTGGACTTGCGTTTGTGGCCTGGAAAATATTTCACCTGTGGCTATGATTTTGAGTCTCTGTCCTGCTGGAACACTCAAACTTCATGTCAGAGTTTTCCTGCTGTGGTGTTTCTGCTCATCTTGCACAGCTGGATGTTTCATAGTGTGCTGCATGTTTGGGGTTGTTCTTTCCAGGTCCTCTTCAGCTGCGGGAAGCCAACAAACCATGTTATGCAAATTAGAGCTGAAGTGACCTTGAAGGCTGAGACAGACCGTCTGAGCAGCTCAGAGGTCATTTCACAGCCAGTGTAACAATTAAGTTTAACATCCAGGCATCCATGAAATCCGAATTTATGAAATTTAATGCCGTTAGAAGTTAGCAGGGAGTTAGCTTGCTAGCTTCCATCTAAATATAACACACCATGTTCTGACTGAGGGATTTCCGAAACAAATTAAGACGTACAGCTCTATCACTCCCGACATAAATGAAGACAGGAAAGTAAACAGCAGTGATGTTCTTAGGGTTACTGAAGTTGGGCTAGCTGGTATATAATGATGTGCTACACGATCGCTAGTGACACAGCTATGTTAGTATAATATAAACACTCAAGCTGGAGGGTGAATGCTAACTTTTTTCCACTCAATAAAAGTTAACGTGAGGGTTCCCGAAGGTTCGGGACAAATGCAATCGCATGGCAGGATGCTGTAAACGGACCAAACTTCAGCCAGGAGAACAACTGAGATAATCTATCCACAATACGAGGTTAGTCATTAATATATTGCTGCATGGGCTGTGCTGTAGTTAAATCGTAAGGTTTTAAAAATGGCGCTTTAAAATGAATAGCGATAATAATAAAAACCGTGAGAGGCTGACAGTGATCACTGACTGGTTTAGGGGCTTGTTGAGATTAAATAGAACAAGATACAAAGCATTAAAACATAAATACACAACAGCCTTATTAAACGCAGGGTAGTTTGGGCCCAGAAGCAGAATTCATCACGTCATCACTTAAAAACCGGATATAAAAGGTTACGTTTAAAAAAAAATTAATGAAAAAGTGTTAATCAACAGATGAGCACAGAGAGTACATCTCGTCCTCAGGTTCAGGCTCAGGCTCACCTTCACCGGCACAGTTATGATCCAGGTTCTGTACCATCATCTCCATCCAGCAGACTATTCAGATATGCATAAACCCAGCAATAACAGAGATGTTGAAAATCATCTGAGGTGGAAACAAAAACATGGAGTTTCAGTAAAACCTTCTGTCAGGACACTGCAGCAGCTCTGTAATATCACCAGACTGAGCATCAGCCAGTGTGAGCCACACAATGCACACAGGTGTTGGGTGAAAACACACGTACATTAAAGGCAGGTCTAGTTTAGACTTGTGTAATGCATTTGCTTCAAGTTAAAGCCATGGTTTTCAAAATAAAAGCACTGTAGAGACGTTTATGTGGAGGTCTGATTTGAAAAAAGAATTTGCCATTGTTTGTGTGTCAGTGTGTTAGTGTGTGTGTGTATGTGTGCTAGTGTGCTAGTGTGTGTGCTGAAACTCTGGACCTGCCTGCAGGTTTTCTGGAGTTCAGCAGAGTCAGAGTGTAATTTTGGCTGCTCTGTAATCACAGAGCTCCTGCAGGGCGGCGTGATAACGCACCATAATGCTGCCTCAGTGTCATCCTCCCTGTGTGGGCTCTCATCGCATGTAATTCACCTCTGAGTGTGTGTGAGTGTTTTTGTGTGTGGTTCTTTCAGCGCATGTCCTGAGGTCACATGGGCTGCAGACTTGTCCTCAGACTGATTAAAGGTTAGTTTAAAGAACAGATTCAGTCTCAAAAGTCTCCAGAGTGCAGGAAGGGAGGCGTCTGAGGAACTGCTACACCCAGGAGTACAAGTACATTCTAAGTACTGTAAGGACTGCAGTGTATTTTATCAAAGTATCAGACAGTACTTCAGGAAAGATTAAATTCAAAGTGAACAGCAGGTTTGTCTGTGGGTGTGCAGATGAAGTACCTCAGGTTTGTACTGCAGTACTCGCAGTAGTGAATGTAGCTGCTGTAGTTTCCCAGATCTTCAGAGTTGTTCCAGTTGTTCAGTCTGCAGAGAGGACAAGGTCTAACTATCCCTGACCCTCCGCTTTCACTGCAGTCAGCACAAAGTGTGTGAACCTCACGCACACTCAAACACAAAAACACAGACACACACACACACACACACACACACACACACACACACACACACACACACACACACACACACACACACAGATAGCCTCCTCCCTCCATAAAGAAAGTCAGACGCACCGCAGAGTCAGGAATGTGGAGTTTACATGGGCAGCTTTATTTGGCCTGAAGAAAATGTTCCAGAAGCCACATCCCACACACACACACACACACACACACACACACACACACACACACACACACACACACACAATAAAAGCTCCATCTGCTATTAACATTTAATAATTCAGTTCATCGGCACAGAGCAAAAAGTTTGTGGGAGGAACTCAGCTGAAAACTCAAGTCAGGTTTCATGAAAGACACAAAACAGAGAAAGCCAGCCAACAAACACAGAGGATAGAAAACAACCATAAAGAGGAAAAAAGCTCCAACCAGAAACAAAGAAAAGCCCACAAAAAAAACAGCAGACAGACAAGGACACAAGCCTCCACCCACACTGAGGCATCACGGCAACCAAACTAAGGAGAAGGGTCCTACCTGAACACTTGCAGACAGTGACTGAAGCAGTAAAAAGCTTAGTGCCAAACCCTGCAGTTCCTCTAGTTCCCAGGAGAGGCAGCAGTGAGTTCACTCCCATAGACTCCCATGTTAAAACTAATAAACATATGTACAGCTTGATACACAAACTGTTCCGATCTTTATTGATAATTTTCCCCTTCCTTCATAACATTTTCAGAACTCACATTAACACTTAAAGTTTGATGGAGAGGTGGATGGTGACACAGGTCGATGTAGCTGCTAGCTAGCTTCACCTGAACTAGACCCCTGGGCCGTGTTTGCGCTGTTGGACATCATGTGACCAATAATATGGCTGCTGTGAGGTTACTCTACTAGCAGACCGTCCAAGAAGGCTCCACTTCAGTAGTGAGTGAAATTTGAGTTTGATTGGATGTTACATGTTATGTTAGCAGGAAGGTGTGTCTGTGTGATGCTCCCACACAGTCTAGGATGCTAGACATACAAAATCCATCCATACAAAGTAGTCACATCCAGTGAACGACATCATGATAGTTGTGTCCATCTTTTATATACAGTGCAGGAAAGCACCTGCTCTGCTGGGATTTGGAAAACAAATATGAATCCAGTGGATTATTTTGTCTGTATGACATCACCATATTAATAACAACATTTTCTCTCATTTCTGAGGAGTGTTGTGGATTCTCCACATAACTGAGGTGTCCACAGACTTCTGAAGGTGGAGTTTCCTCTCTCAGAACTTTTGGCAGCGGTAAACGAACATATGCTGCTTGATTTGGAGTGCTTTTGTGAAGTTGACATTCACTTTGTTTTGGTCTTAGAAACACATCTGATTTGTAGGCATGTACCAGCCAATGTGACCAAAGAGATTCAAAGAGACACAAAACAGTCAAAAATCCACAAAAATTACAACAAACGGGTTTAAAACAGACACCAAAGAAGCAAACCAGATGAAAACAGCAAAGAAGAAGGAGGTAAGAAGGAACACTCTGACATGTTGTTGTTCCACTGATGTCATGGTAACACACGTGGCACTGACTCACGTCATATTGAGCACATGTCTGCGTGGGCTGCTGTCATCTCACACACACACACACACACACACACACACACACACACACACACACACACACACACACACACACACAGTGATGTAAATCGGGGATGTAGATGACATCACTCAGAATAACAAGCTGGGGAACTTTGGTATTGATCATGTTTTGAAGGATCACACAGAAAGGAAGTGATGCGTGAGGGCAGGTGGCAGATGTGCAGCATCTGCAGACCCTGAGCGACACCTGCAGCGAGCAGCCGTGAATGTTGTCGGTCTTTAACCCCAGCCCTGCTGAAAGCTCAGTGAGCAGTCAGTCACGTGATAACCACAGCCTCATCCAGGTCACAAACAGGACGTTGTTGACGGTCATGTGGCAGGAAGTTTTCGGCTCTTCCTGATGAAGACGGTGGACCTACATAAACGGGTCAGGAGCACATCGCTGTGCTCACAGCATTCAAACTCAAACACTTCCACCCACGCCGAGCATTTTCTCCCCTCCTCAGAGCTGACCGTCCAAACAGAAACCAGCTCTGTCTCCATGAAAACACCCACAGCTTCCTCTGCTGCATCGCCACAGGAGCGCATGGATCCAGATCATGATGTCAGTCCACAGCCTTTACACTGTGAGTCTCTCTGCACTAATGGCTCCACCCACTCCAACCTTCTGACCCGGAGCTCCATGGTTAATTCAAAAACGACTCAAACAGGAAGAGGAAGCACTGTGTTTGTTTGTAACCTGTGGTTTACACATGTGCATTGAAGTCTGATTGGACACAATGCTCTTGTCTCTTAACCACAAACCACCAATCAAGCTCCTCCACCACCAGCCTAATTTCCCCATCTAAACATTGTCCGATATGTTTGGACGAGAATGAGGAGATGCAGCAACGCTGAGAAACGCCTCCTTCACCACCACCACCACCACCACCATCATCATCATCATATTCTGGCTCCAGCGGGCTCACACTGCTTTCTGAGGACCTCCTGTTTACAGGAACAGACCACAGACAGAAACCAGATCCTGAAACAGGCATCAACAGGACGCTGCTGGGTCGGGTCAGGAGACCTTTTTTAATATCTTAGATTATCTTGCTCAGCTTTAAGCAGTGACTTTTTCTACATTACTCACTAAAAGTGACATTCACTCAATGATCTTAAACATTTCCCCTGAGTTGAGTTTGTGAAGAAGTCTGAGATGAGAAGACGAGGTCTGACAGCAGTACAGGAGGCCATCCACACCCATTGTGAGCAACCGTCGCTGAGCAGAACTGGTGGCCTATGAAACCAGCCGTCAGCAGTCCTGAAACCCCATCCCATGCAGTTCAATCCTGACTTATGATCAGAGACCTGCGAATACAGACGAGTAACAACGACAGGTGAAACAAACAATTGTGGCACGAGCATCTACCAGCAGTGCTGAAGTCTACCGCTGACTGACAGGCGAGGTGGTGGTAGATCCATCTGAGGATTACCTACTTAAACCCGAGCCTGGAGTGGTGACCAGCCTTTAGCTTCAAAGTCCACAGTTTGAATGGACTGAGTGATTGACTCATCAGCTGTTTTAAAACAGATCACACCGAACTAAAAGGTGAAGAAAGCAATTGAAACAACTCAAATTCTCAAGTGAATAAACCTCATCCAAGGAGGTCATCAATCACGCCAACCCTGCGTCTCTGAGGCCGGGATGGGAACAACTGGGAACAGATCAGAGGGAAGACGTGATGGTGTCTGCAGATTGTGCTGCTGTTTGAAAGACTTCCCGTTGAAGAACTTCAAGGATTTCAGTGTGGTTACTGTGGTTTTCTGTAGCAACAGTACACACCTGCATTTTTACAAACTCACAGCTGCACTCTTATTACTCAGGAACAATCGTCTTGATACATGCTTAATCATCCAGGTGACTTCTTGAGTTTCAGCTGACTGCAGGGTTCCAACCTTATAAACAGTACATTTGCATAATGACTGAAACTAGCACCACTGATGAACAATGAGGTCAGTTTCCATCTGTGAATCGGGGAAACCTGTGAAATCTGCGAAACCTTACAAAGTGAAATATGTAAAATTTGTAAGGTTGGGGAAACCTGCAGTCAGCTGAAACTCAAGAAGTCACTTGATTGACGATGGAACATTTCTCCCACTTAATATCCAGATGACCAGAAACTTTTTTGATGACTCAGGAAAAATAATGTCTACAAATACATCTCACCAGGTTTATTTGTGGAGTTCATTTCAGGTTTTCCCTAAAGAAAATTGGCCACAAAAATATTGTTTCCATAAACTTTTCATAATTTCTTTTTCTTCTTCTGAGGAAATTGAATTCACTGTTTTTTACGACCTGCTGAAACCTTAAAAATGAACCGCGATGCAACAAACTGCTGCTCAGCTCATAATCATGTTCATGCAGGACAACAAGAACACCACCAACCTGTGACTCTTTAAATCTTTTACTCACAGTAAATCATCACTCAGGGTGGTGATGCTGCCCCCTGCAGGCAAACCCAGGTTTTACATCCAGCAGCACTTTTAAAAATGTCCAGTAATCATACGTCATCAGTTTGTTTTAAAACATATTTACATTTCCCAGGATATTAAAGGAGTACAAAACTATAAAGAAGAATTTACTAAAAAAAACAACAAACACATTTGATTTCATTCAAACGTCTTACAAACTCAGAAGGTATGACACACTGAGACACACTAAACTGGTTTAAAGTAACTCCCCTCCCTTCATACATGGAGCAAAACACTGAGTTTCACCTGCTGAGAATGACAGTTGCCCCAACATTTTAAGGGTGAACATGAAGTTTTGGCTCTTCCTGAGCGCTGCAGCTCAAACCTGTAATCACCTCTGTTACCATCACAGGCCTGACTCGTGTTATCTATACCCAAAGATGTCTTTCATCTCACTGATTCATTGTTTAATATAAGATACACAAATACAAATGTAAACAGCATGATAGAAAGTCTTCATCACCTCATTGTGATGAGAGCGGATCTGCTTCACGGAAGCTTCAACAAGTTTTGGTGTTTTGAAAGTCTGAGAGTCATAGTGAGGTTGGAGGTGTTTCTCACAGTAGGAGGCCCCACAGACCCTGGTGGCTTTACGTTTCCTCCCACTGCAAACATCACAGGCCACATCTTCAGGTCCAGCAGCGTGGAGCTCAGGCTTTCTCAGCTCCTCCACTAAAGCTGCTAGTCCAAGCACCCCCACAGGCTAGCCAGTACCGGTCAACCATACAGCCTCCATTGGAACAAAACCAATAGGAAACCCTACTAACTCCTCCCGGGACCCCTCAAGAGATCAGTCGTTGCCTGCAAGAAGAAAAATCCTTCCAGAATGGAAGAGTTAATAACACAGAACAATCCATTTATATCAATAATATCAGTGATGATAA